AAGTCCCACTGCTGATAGAAGGTGGTGCGGGATTTCGACCCAGGCAGCCTGGCTCTGGAGTCTGTTCTCAGACACCCAGCCCCATGAGGCAAAGGGGGCAGGACTGCCGGGATCACTCAGTGCTCATCAGCTTGTTCCTCTAGCTTCCTCTCAAAGGAAGAGCTTCCTTTCATACCAGCCCAGTTCTAAAATTCTCAAGTGAAAAACAGAGTTTTATTAGCTGAGGAAGGAGACAGTGGGGCGAAGAGGGAAGAGCTGTGAAGAGTCAAGGAAATGATGTGTGTAGACTGTCCAGCACAGACATCTGGGATGACGCTGTAGCATAGTTTTGGAAGCTCTCCGGATCCTAAGCAAAACCACGATGACCAGATAAGAAAGTTCTTCATCCATGGGAGACGTTTCCAACTAAACAAAGGCAACCCCCACATATAGTTCAAATGAAATCCACCCACATGGTATTGGCGTCCATGTGGGAGGAAGCAGTGAAAGAACCTCAAGCAGTCAGCAGTGTCCTATAGAAAGCGCAGTAGGGCAGTCTGAGAACAGCGGCTGAGGCTGGGAGCCACTTTGCTCACTGCAGTGGCCAGTGTGTGCAAGGGCTGAAGAAGGGGTGGAGCAGGCCGTGCTGGGCCTAGTCACTCAGTCGTGTCCGACTCTTTGTGACCCCATGGACCGTAGCCTGCCAGGCTCCTCTGTCCATGGGATTCTCCAGGCATGAATACTGGAGTGGGCTGCCATGCCCTCCTCCAGGGGATCTTCCCAACCCGGGAATAGAACCCAAGTCTCCCACATAGCAGGCAGATTCTTTACCAGCTGAGCCATCATGGAAGCCCAAGAATACTGGAGTGGGTAGTCTTTCCCTTTTCCGGGGAACGTTTCCAACCTGGGAATCGAACCGGGATCTCCTGTATTGCAGGTGGATACTTTACCAGCTGAGCTACTAGGAATTTTTTTTTTTAACATTTCTTTAGGCTCCATCAGGTCTTAGTTGTGACATGCAGGATGTTTGTTGTGTTATGCAGGATATTTGTTGTGTTATGCAGGATATTTGTTGTGTTATGCAGGGTCTTTTTTTGTGGTGTGCAGTATTAGTTGCCCCTCGGCGTGTGGGATCTTAGTTTCCCAGACCAGGGATAGAACCTGAGTCCCTTGCATTGTAAGATAGATTCTTTTTTTTAAAATTTATTTATTTTTAATTGGAGTGTAATTGCTTTACAACATTGTGTTGGCTTCTGCCATACATCACCATGAATCAGCCACAGGTCTACATGTTTCCCCTCCATGAGCCTCCCTCCCACCCCATCCCACCCCTCTTGTCACAGAGCACCACGTTTGAGCTCTCTGCATCCTACAGCCAATTCCCACTGGCTATCTATTTTACATATGATAATGTTTATATTTCAATATAAACTCTCAATTCATCCCACCCTCTCCTTCCCCCACTGTGTCCACGAGTGTTCTCTGTGTATCTGTTGCTTCCCTGCAGATAGGTTCTTCAGTACATCTTTCTAGATTCCATATGTATGTGTTAATATGCAATATTTGTTTTTCTCTTTCTGACTGACTTCACTCTGTATAATAGGCTCTAGGTTTATTCACCTCACTAGAACTGACTCAAATGCATTCCTTTTTATGGCTGAGTAATATTCCATTGTATATACATACCACACTTCTTTATCCTTTCATCTATTGATGAACATCTCGGTTGCTTCCATGTCCTAGCTATTGTAAATAGTGTTACAATGAACAGTGGGATGCATATATCTTTTTCAATTATGGTTTCCTCAGGGTATATGCCCAGTAGTGGGATTGTTGGATCATATGGTACTTTTATTCCTAGTTTTTGGAAGGCAGATTCTTAACCACTGGACCACCAGGGAAGCCCCATTAACTTTTAAAACTGGGCCATCAAGGCTTCCTTGAAAGTCAGGATCTCATACTATGAAGAAACTGCTGGAAATGAAATAGAAAATTGAGTAGGAAAGAGGCTATTGTGGAAAATGAAGCTCCAGGTAAATGTAGAGGCCTGTCAAAGAGCAGGCTGCCAAAAACAACAGATGAAGGGGCCCTGTAAAATCAGGAAAAGTATGGACCATCCCTTATGTGACACTGATTTCACATAAAAATGGTTAGCCAAGAAGTGTCCAGGTTAAATCTCATATAAAGTTATTGTAGGAAAAAAGAGAATAAAGAACAGAATGACATCCCTCTGGAGAATGAAAGTATTCCAGGAAGATATGCTTACAGATGAGATCAAAGCTGTAACCTAAATCAAACAAACTAAAAGGATTGAAAATATAACCAAAAATGAAGGAAAAATGTAAGCCAGAATTAGGAAAAGCTGAGAAATGAAGTGATGAGACTCAAAAAATTATTTAAATTAAAGCAAAAAGCAGTTTCAGAAATAAATACTTAAGGAAAAGCTGGAAAAAAAGTTCTCATAAGTTGAAAAATAAATAAAAAAAGAGATGAAAAGACTTGAAGAGAAAGTGACAGATGTTGAAGACAAAGAAGACCCAACATACAGGTAATAGAAATCTCTGAAGAATTAATGCAAAACAAAGGAAGGTGGCAATAATTACTAAAATTGATAATTCAAGAAACTTTACAGATATTTTAGGAAAGATTTTAAATTCCATATTGGAAGAACACCCAACATATTTGAACATATTGACTTAGAGCAGCCAACACCAAGATATAAAGAGAAAACAAAAATACCTTTGGGTAAAAACAGCAAGAGACTTATAAGGGAAAAAACTGTATTATCATCAAATTTATCCACAACAACACTTATACCAGAAGAAAATTAATACTTAGGATACTCAAGAAAATGTAAGTCAAGGATTTTATGCCCAACAAAACAGACTTTTATGTACAAAAGTGAAAGTCGTTCAGTCATGTACAACTCTTTGTGAACCCATGGACTGTAACCAGGCTCCTCCATCCATGGGATTTTCCAGACAAGAATACTGGAGTGGGTTGCCATTTCCTTCTCCAGGGGATCTTCCTGACCCAGGAATCGAACCTTGGCCTCTCAAGTTGCAAGCAGACTTTACCATCTGAGCTACCAGGCAAGTCTTTGTGCCTTTATGTACAAAGGGCACAAACTATTAGCACTAATGCAAAATTGTCAGCCTGAAAGCATTAAACATAATTACTCATAGAACTACAGTTAAATGAGTGTTATAAAAAAAAAAAGTATAGTATGAATCACTGTAGGCTCAGACTATGTAGATCTAGCACATCTATTAAAATTGGAGGTAGAATACGGAGAACTTATCCCCAGATTATTACTTTAAGTAATTATGTAATTATGTTAATGGTAGTAATTTTAGTTTTGTTATTTTGAGACTACTGGGTCAAAATATGGAATAAACTGAAATAAATAATTATGGGATATTCTACCATATCCTGTGTTCTTAAGAGCCAGAATTTTGATATGGAAAAAAGGAGACTCCTTTGGTATATAGGAGAGGTTAAGTAAAAAACTATGTGCTTCTTATTTTGATTGTAAATATCAGTATGAACTCATACTGTATGTGACCTTTAAAATTTTCCACTGAAGAGGCCTAGAAACAGTGACCAACTCAGTAGCACTGAGCATTCTTGGCATCCAGATTATGGTCTTGAAATATCATTTTCCACTAAAAAACAAAAAACAAACCCAACACTTCTTGGAAATAGCTGGGACAGTAGAAGTGTAAGATGAGGCTGGGACACCTTGTTAAGCCAGATAGCAAGAGAACCATCAGAGAGAGGACTGCCCTGGTAGTCCAGTGGCTAAGAATCTGCCTGCCAACACAGGCAGCACAGGTTCGATCCCTGGTCCGGGAGGATTCCACATGCCTCGGGGCAGCTAAGCCCATGCACAACTACTGAACCCATACTCCACAACAAAAGAAATGACCGCAACTAGAGAGTAGCCCCTACTCGCCAAAACTGGAGAAAGCCTGTGCGCAGCAGTGGAGACCCAGGCAGCCAGAAAAAAACAAATAAAGATAGAATAAGCACTTCCACGGTGGTCCAGTGGTTAAGACGCTGTGCTCCAAATGTAGAGGCATGTGTTTGATCCCAGGTCGGGGAACTAAGATCTCTCATGCCACAGGGCACAGCAAAAATAAATAAATAAATGAAAGATACAGCACAATTTTTTAAATGGGCAAATTTAAGTGATTTTCTCGAGATGCACATGTGTGGCACAGACGTAAAGGAATGCAGGTAGGCGATTGCTGGCGGAGACAGGACAGGGGTTACTTTGGGGGTGCACGAGAGGCTTAAGGCAGATCTGGGCCCATGAAGCGGCCTTGAGTGCCAGGTTAAAGTTCTCTTTCTTGACCTGGGTGCTGGTTGTAAAGCAGTTTGCCTTATAATACTCTTTAAGCTATAACTTTGCTCTGTGTAACTCTCACATGGTGTTTCATTTTATGATTAAGAGGTTTTTAAAAGTATGCCTGCACCTGTAGCAAACTCAGGCCTCTCCTCCCCGTCCATCACGTACGTGACACTGGAGATTTGACTGCTTTGTGCGGGGTACAGAGCTGCATGCTTTCCCTGTGACCGCCCCCCCGACCCGGGGTCCCAGGAAGGCCGGACCTTGTCTCCGTTGCTTGCTTTAGGTGTCCCTGGCGTGTGGCACCCAGCAGACGCTCCCAACACACTTGTTGAGCAAGTGAATGAATGAATGTGATTTGCAGTTGTGGAAACTGAAGCTCAGTTCATGCAGCTGGTAAATAGCAAAACTTTGCTTATCCCGGCTGGAGCAGATGGAAACTGGGGTGTGCCTCGGGGGTTCGACTCCCGGTCCGGTTTGTAGAAGGACCCGGAAGCATCCTCTCGGAGCAGCTGGGCTGGGAGGCCGGTGTGGGTCTCCCATGGTGGAGCCAGCCTGGGGTGGGTGCTGCTGCCCAGCCACCTGCTTCTCTCCCGGACCCGGGGCTCTGTCTCTGTGGGTGTCCTGGTTCCACACTTCCCACCCCCTCTTGTGCTGTGGCTCCCCTCAGGCTCCGCCAGGAGAAGACAGACACCGTCCGCTGCATCAAGTCCTGCCGCCCCAACGACGTCGCCTGCGTGCTGGACCCGGTGCACACCGTCTCCCACACCGTCGTCTCGCTGCCCACCTTCCGCGAGTTCACCCGCCCCGAAGGTGAGTGGCCACTCCCAAGTCTGGAGATGGCTTGGGGGTCCTGGTGGAGGCCGGCGTCTGGGGGACCATCCCTGCCAGGGTAGCCTCCTTGCTGAGGCTTGACCTGCAGGAGCAGCTCCTTGGCGAGATGTGGGTTTGGGGCTTGGGATGTTGACCCCGCCCCGCTTCTGCATCTCCTCTGTATCCCCGGACTACAAGGCAACCCGGTTTCTGCCTGTTTCCTGCCCTCAGTTCAGTGGAGGGGGTGTGGATCTCATTTGGGGGATGACAGTCGTTCAGCGAATAGCTATTAAGTGTTGATTCTTTGCCAAGTGTGGGGTTATCAGGGAGGGCTTCCAGGAGGCAGTGACCCTACTCTGGGTCCTGAGGGGCCAGTAGGAGGTTAATGTAGGGAAGTGGGGAGTGGGAAAGAAGGCCAAATCAGGATACCTCCGGAAAATCTGGAGGTGAGTGGGGAGTGTAGGTCTTTGAGGAAGGAAGCCAAGTTTTTCTGGCTGGAGTGGTGGAGGCTTGGCAAGAGATGGGCTGCAAAGGTAGACGGAGTCTGCACTTGGAGTTGGGGCTTCAACTCCAAGGTTTTGGGAGCCAGTAGAGGGTCGTGACTGATGCTTTTTGCACACAGAAGCTGCATCCTGGAGACCGAGGGGCAGGCGGGTTGGTGTGGCTAGGCCGACTCCAGGGAACCCCCCAGTAAAGGGGTCAGAGTGCCCGCCACAGGCAGCTCCACCTGCAGTGTCGACCTGCCGTCAGAGCCCCTTCCCACACGCGGGGCCAGGGCAGCGGGCTCCCCATGCCTGGCAGAAGGCTGCGGGCAGGGAGCTGCTCTGCGTGCCTTCCTTTGGGATGTGCGGCCCACGTGCCAGGGCTGGCGTGGTCTCCAGACACCCGCTTCCTCTGGAGTCTTCACCCTCCCCCTGCGGCCTTCGGAAGAGCTCCCCATGAGAATTCATTCGGCCAGTTGAGCCTCCTGGGTGTCGGGCTCTGGGACACTGGGGTGAACAAGAGTGCTCCGTCCGTCTCAGGGAGGTTGGACAGGTTGCCTTGTGTCTGCACGTGGCCACGGGGTCCGGGGAGTGACTCGGTGCCCATACCGGAACACTGAGCCTGGCCGTGGGGGTGGGAGGGCAGGAGAGGCACCCAGGGACGGGCTCACCTGCACCAGAGGTGGCCCTGCCCGCCCTGCCCCCCCGCCCGCCACCTCCTCGTCCCTCTAGAAAGGGAGGCACGGGACCTTGGCAGGGCGGCGCGGACTTGGCTCTGCGGTTTGCCTCGTGCACCGTGACCAGTTCCTCCAGACCACGCAGATCCTTCCCAAATCCCTCTCCCCCGTGCTGCGGCCTCCCGGCTGGTGCTGACCCACAGTTTGGTGCGACGGGAAGCTGGGCGTGCTTAGAGGTACCTGTCAGCATCTTGGGCCAGGAAACCTAGACCTTGACTGTTCCCGTGGAGAGGACCCTTGGTGGGCAGTGGCGGGCCGCCTGCTGCACTTTACGGTGGAGAGACTGAGGCTCAAAGAGGACTCCCCCCTCCACCCCAGATTGTGCAGAGCTGGTGTAAATCGGGCCCTTGTGCTCCCAGCACTGATTTCGCATCAGGCCTGAGCGGTGGACGCAACCACACACCCGCTTGGGACCCAGCCCGAGGAGGGGCTTGTCCGACCCCCATCCCAGTAGGGCAGGGACCATCTTGACCTCTTTCCCACATCCTTCGTCCGCCCCCTTCCCCATCTTCCCAGCTTCAGGGAGACTCCTGAGCAGTCACCAGTTACTTCCTAGTGCTGGCCCTACCAGCTAATGGGTTCCATGACTTCAGGGAGGATCCGAAGTCTCGCCAGGCCCCAGCTTCCCTGTTGGTGCAAAGGGGGGACAGGCCATGACCTGGGGTCCCTTGGGACCCCTGTACCTTCTCCATACGCGGGGTCCTCGTGTTGGGTCCTCATGGGCTTGGGTCAGGCCTCTCCGGGGTCACGGGGCCCAGCGCTGCACCCTCTTCATGCCTCGCTTCTCTCTGGCAGAGATCATCTTCCTCCGGGCCATCACGCCTGCCTATCCTGCCAACCACGCGGACATCATCTTCGACATAACAGACGGGAACCTCCGTGACTCTTTCGACATCATCAAGCGCTACATGGACGGCATGACTGTGGGTGAGTGCCCGGAGACAGCAGGTCCACCCAGACGCCCTCTGGTCCTCCAGCCTGTGGCCCAGCCGCGGCCTGTCGCAGACCGGCCCGGCTCCCACCCGGGTCCCTGGGTCCCTTAGGGCCCAGCTGGAAACCCCCACCTGTCAGTCATGATGCGAGGAGCGTCTGCAGGAGCCAGGAGCAGGAGCCACCTGCTCTCTCCGTCTTCCCAGCTGCAGCTGTTGGTTGTTGTGTAGCTGCTCAGTAGTGTGCGACTCCTTTGCGACCCCATGGACTGTGGCCCGCCCGGCTCCTCTGTCCATGGGATTGTCCAGGCAAGAACACTGGACTGGGTTGCCATTTCCTTCTCCAGGGGATCTTCTCGACCCAGGGATCGACCCCTCGGCTCCTGCATTGCAGGCGGGTTCTTTACCACTAGCCTCCTGGGAAGCCCCTTCAGGTCTCCTAGGTCCTGGATATTGTTGGGCCTGAGCAGAGTGTTACGGAACGTGGTCTGTAGGTGGCACTGTTGGCTCTCAGAACCCCGTCCCCGAGGCCCCCAGCCCTGACCGATGACCGACGGTTGTGCAGCTGCAGCTGGAGACGGGATCGTTAACTCCTCTGTTGCCAAAGAGCCATTTATAGCGACTTTACAAGCTCTTAAATGGGTTTGCATGTTGTAAACATGACTGAGTCATCTGGGGGCCCCCTCCCCCGGCCTCCTCCTCCGCTAGTTGGCAGCAAGAATAATTAGTTAATTACAATTAATAGTACAGGAGTCCTCGCTGGGATTCTGAGGGGAGGGCATGCAGCCATAAAACTTGCTGCTTGCCCCTGAGTCACTGCCCGCCCTGGGCCTCAGTTTCCCCCACTGTTAGGTGGAGCGACGTGTTACGGGACCTTCGGGCGCCTGGAGATGGGGGCAGGCAGCAGGAGGCAGGGTCAAGGGTGTGCCCCCAGCCCTCCCTCCCGGCGTGGGGGTTGGTGAGCAGCTCGCGGGCACCTGCACACAGAAGCCCACCTAGGGGCGCCCTTGTGCTTGACGCTCGGCCGCCCTGGGGGCACTTCTCTGCTCTTGGACCACAGGAGATGGAGTCAGAACCTTCTGACACACTCGTTCATTCTCTGCGCTTCTGGGCTCTTCCCTCTCTGCACTAGCCCTGGGCCTGGCGTCGTGGATACAGGGATGGCTCGGTCGGCGCAGCCCCCGTCCCTGAGGGCTTTGCATTCCACCGGGTGGCGGCGGGGAGGCAGAAACAGGTCCTGGGGACGTAGTGGTGGAGAGACAGTGACAAGCAGCTGCGAGGCCTCGCTGGGGACTCCGGACAGTGCTGCGTCTTCGGTTCCCAGCTAAACCGTCCTGGAGTGACCTGAGCCAGGGGCCGGGCCGCAGCTGGGCCCAGAGCCAGTGCTCACAGCACATTTTTCTAGCCGTATGGATACTCCAAACAGAACCAACCTGGGACCCTGTGTTTCTTGGGTTCCCATCCACTGGGACAGAAAATCCTGGCACCTCGGAGCCTGGAGGCTCCCGGAGGCCACCCCTTCCAACTCCTTTTGGAGGGGGACTCCCGAGCAGCGAGGGGGCCTGGCCGGTTTTCCCAGGGTGACTTGGGCCGGGGAGGGGGTTGGCGAGGAGGGGACAGACCCCGGTGTGAGAGGCAACCACAGGTGCCACCTGCGGAGGCACAGCATCCTCTCCTCACCGCCTTTGGCCCTGCGGGCCCTGCTTCGGGTTCGGTGCTGGGGGAGGGCCCAGGCTGGCCCAGGCTGGGCCTGGTGTCCAGCGTCTCAGTCCATTTGCTGGACGTCTTGTCTGGCTGGGCCCCTGGAGCCTGCCAGTGAGCTCTCCCACGTCGAGGGCGAAGGCCAGAGGGGACGGGCATCTCCCTGGGGTGCTACCCAGGCTCTGCTGAGCCCCCATCTCTACACCCGCAGGTCGCTGCCTTGTTTCTCTCCTTGGGGCCTCTTGCCTGGACTTCCTTATCACCCCCCCAGCCCCTCTCCTGCCCCAAAGAACTTCTGTGCCCCCTGGAGCATCTGGGCTCTGAGGGTAGCCGCCCTGGCACACGCCAGGCCTGGGCATGGGCCTGTCCACCTGTGATGGCTTGTTTTGCCACTCTAGCCCAGGCTGAGCAGTGTGAGAACAGTCCCTGGGCACGCTCACCCCCGCACCCTGTCTCGGTCCTTGCAGACGCCTCTGGGGCCGTGATTGTCTCCGTCGGGCAGAGGAGGGAGCTAAGGAAATGACCGCCTGAGACTGAGCTACAAAAACCACAGGGCCGGGGAAGTTTGCAGGCGTGTTTTCGGCTGTGCATCCTCGTTTCAAGCAATGTCTTAGATAGAAACCCTCTAAGTCCGTGGAGAGAGAGAAAGTGTTTCGTGGGGCCTCTCAGGCCTCCTGTGGGGGGCTCCTGGGCCCATTGAGCACCCCCCCCAAGAAGCCCCCTGCTCCCTGCAGCACCTGGGAAGGGGCCACACCTACTCATAGGCTGAACCCCTGCCTGCTCTAGGCCTTACCCCGAATGGACATTGGGCACGGGTCAGGAAGGCTTCCTGGAAGAGGTGAGGTCTGAGCTGTGTTGTGATGCACGTGAAGGAGCAGCTGACACTCAGGGCTGGAAGCAAGTTCTTCGTCACCGCCACACTCTGTGACATGTTGGGAGTCTCCCATCAACAGAGGAGGGACCGATGGCCAGAGAAGGCAGGTGTGGTTTGTTCCAGGCACCCCTGCTGCTGGAGGCGGAGCAGGCCTAGAGCCCAGTCTTCCCCAGATACCCAGAGCTGGAATACTCAGACGGCTATTGTTGACTCGGGCAGAGTTACCAAGAGTTTGTGTCCCAGAGAATTAACCAGTGCACGAGCTGCCGAGACCGTGACCCAGTGAAGGTCACTGCTCCCCCAGATAACAGAAGGAGAAAGCTCTCCAAGTTGATTAAGAACCTGAAAGGGCCAGACCTTCCCCTAATGCGTCCTTTAAAAACCAGCTCTCCGCAGGGATAAAGGCGGCTCTGAGCAGGGCTGAGCTGCTCTCTCCGTAAAGCCGGGTGCAGCCGCCCTGTTACATTCCTCTTTCACCAGCTGTCAATGAAAAATGAAGAATGCATTTTCGACCTGTGCAAAAAATGTTCTATTAATGCCTGAGGTATTCTTGGGCCACTACAAAGCCTTCCTTATCCAGCCCCTGCTTCACTCTCCACCCAGCAGAGCACCGACTGTGATCGGGGGCTGCTCCAGAAGGGGTCTTTCAGGTAATAGTTCCTGGAGATAACTAACGGGGGGCCCTGGTGAGGTGGGTGCAGTTTGTGTATCCTCAGCCACCAGCAATGGGGGACCCTCGCCCCGGACTCCCCAGGCCCCTGGGTGGTTGGTGGTATCTGAGTCTCAGCCCTCCCTGACCCCTCCTTGCCCACTACTCCTTTTTAACTGTTTTTCTAAGGAGAGGGAGGAAAAAATATCTGTCTATATGGAGGGTGTACTTTGCCAAAATTTCTACTAGAACCTCCCCAAAGCCAATAGGAACTAGACATCGCTCAGCTCAAGCTACTTTTTAGACCCACAGGTTGATTTCGTGAATGGCCCTCTCGATCCTCGGTGGACATCACCGTTTCTGTAGGAAAAAACCGAGGAGCCTCAGTGTCAGTTGGCAAGCAGGCGTGCTGGATGTCCAGTCTGTCCTGGGTTGTTCCCTGGGCTCCTCATCCGCCGCTGGGTCCCCTGAGAAACAGAGGTGCTCCTGTCTTCAGCTCCTGCCCGGGTACCATGGCAACCAGCCATGCTCCCAATAAAGTCTGAATGAATGGAGATGGTCCAGCTCACTTGTAAGGCTTCCCAGTTGGTGCAGTGGTAAAGAATCTGCCTGCCAATGCAGGAGACACAGAAGACGTGGGTTCCATCCCTGGGTCGGGAATATCCCCCTGGAGGAGGAAATGGCAACCCACTCCAGGATTCTTGCCTGGAGAATCCCACGGACAGAGGAGCCTGGTGGGCTGCAGTCCATGGGGTTGCAAAAGAGTGGGACACGATTGAGTGAGTGAGCATGTACGCATGGACACGGGATAGGTTGAGGAGGGATAGTCCCTCGTTGTAGATACCGTTCTTGTCATTCAATGAAATGATGGAAAGCCCCGAGCAGCACCTGGCGTGCAGTAGGTGTGCAGGAAGTCAGTATTCGTGGAACCCACACCTTTTCCCATAGCCCACTTTGTCTGTGCCGAAGCCTCTAAATTTGGCCCGTATGTCACCACCCTCATAACAATATCCTCACTCCCCTTCCTAAAGGGAACCAAAAGCTTTTATTTACATTTTGAAAGAGACTTCTGAGTTTTGTTTGTGAGAATACAAGGACTGCTACTCTATTTCACTTTTGAAAAATATCATGGCTGGGGTGGTCCTCTTAGGGCAAAACCCCGTGGAGTCCCTGCTTCCATGGTTGGAGCGCCGAGCTTGGGGTCAGATGTCCCGGCGTTGGTTCTTGCTGGGCTGTCTGTTTCCAGCTGTGTGACCCCAGGCAGGTCTCATGACCTCTCGGAGCCTCGGTTTTCTTCTCGGTGAGATTGCCATAGTAATCTGCCTTGCCTTGCCGGGGTGTGAGGACCAGAAGGAGTTGTATGTATTTTAACATAGCTGGGCAGGTTGTTAGGGGATAAATGAGCCACTGTGAGGGGGCTGTTTGGGGCTAGAGAGCTGGTGAGGTCTTGGAGCCCCCTGAAAGGACAGGAGAGCAGCCAGCGGGGGGCACATGGGATGCTGCCGGGACTGCTCACCCCCAAGTGGCTCCAGTTACCTGGGAGCTGCGTCATCAGCACCGCTCGTGGCCTGGGCTGATGAGTCAGGCTGGAAGCGGAGTGGTGGAGGCCATGCCTCCCAGGTTCTGTCATCCTTGAATTAGTCATCCAACAAGAACCTCCTGGATTCCCACTCCAGGCCTAGCCCCGTGCTGGGTGCTGGGGCACAAGTTTACACCCGAGCCACAAATCCCGCTCTCAGGAAGTTGCCGCCCAGCTTCCCTAGCATCCTGCCAT